GAAGTACAAATTCGGGACATGGAGCGAGCACCACGATACGTCTCTCTTTGCGTACATAGCATCAAGCTGGGGGGATTGACCCGTTTGAGATGGATACCAGTTGGTCTATCATTCAAAGGAGACTGGTAGATTTCTCCATCGAAAGTCTAGAAGCAGCGTTTAATTTCTTTGATCGAATCAGAGAGGATGGTCTGGATCTCAAGGATAGGCATGGACTTGGTATGGACAGTGCTCCGGGACAAGCATTTATGAGCTTACTCGAAACAATGACGGAGAGACAAGTCAAGAATAAAGGGTATGACATCTCTCTATTTATATAGCCACGTTCGCTCACTGTTCTTTAGCCAAACAGAAGACTTGGCTGACGAGCCAGAAGCGGAGTTTACCGATAGTGAAGAAGACTGGGACTCCTCCACCCAAGGCGACTACGGCCAAGACCCAGAGAGCGTCGATTACTCCTACTTTCTCGAGGGTGATTTTAGCACCCTTTGGCCTGTACTTGACGAGGATGAAAGCGACAGTGATTATTGTCCAGAAGAAGAGAGCTATGGTACCGAGTAGAGAATATACAAGCATTAGATTTGTCATGAAGATATAAAGAGTTTGAGCAAAGTTGAGAGCTCATATGGCAGAAATCTAGAAAGGCGTTGAAGGTTCGGCACTTTTGCCACTGATACATTATCCGTAATTAGACCTCTTATGTCATGATATCAGCCATAATTATGTGCATAGGTTATATATCTCCGGGGAAGGGGTGACTAAGAGGTCGAACGAAGATAGCATATCACTTGTGCGCAACCTCAATCGACACAATCTGGCTAGTGTAAAATGCAAGCCACAACCCCACTTTCAGATAGACCTAATGGGGACCAATGTAGCAATAAAAGTGCTTCTGGCACCGCTGATGGTCCATTCAAGGCTGTATCTCGCTCCTCCTCTGTGAAAGGGGGAGACCTTTTTGCCACCTCTTACGACGAAGCTACTCCGGTGCCAAAACTCCCTCTGATGCCTGAATTCAATCTACGCAGTCAAAGGATTCTTCTAGAGGAACTTCGCTTGGTTGATGTCATCCCGGTGGTACCATTCCTTGGTTCCGTCCTCCGCCCTATCTCTCCTCACAACCTGCAGCAAGTCAAAGCCCGCTTGATACAATTGGGCGTACTCTCAGAGGAATCGGGTTGGAAATGCTTTTTTCCATCCTCCAGGTCACATCTCAACACTCCCGAGTCGA